GAGCACTGGCTGCTGCTCCTGCAGAGGACAAGGGTTTGACTCCCAGTGTGCACGTGGCAGCTCCGAACTGCCCCCCACTCCACTTCCAGGGCATCTGTTACCTTCTTCTCATCTTTTTGGGCACCAGGCGTGCATGCACATGTGCACATACATACATGCAGATAAAACACCTAAACACACAAAATTACACCAATCTTTAAAAGAAATTCCTAATTTATATACTAAAGGCTGACAGGTTTAATGGCTCTTTCTTGTGCTAGGATATGCATTGCTTTCTTAAAACAAAACTTTCCTTTCTATTCCAGTTGTTTTGGTCATTCTTTTCTCTTTTTTTCTCTTAAGTGATATTTAAAAAGCTCACAATGAGCCCCTTTTAGATTGCTTTAGGTCTCTATGATGTATTTGCTACCCATCATTCATGGGAGTTTCTTTCTCTATGTGTTTCTGAGCTGGGTTTTTCTTTCTTTCTTTTTGTAAGGTCAGAGTTTGCTTCTGGACCATTTTTCCTGTTCATTTCTCCTTACTATTGTAAGGGCTAAGTTAACCTGTAAGTCCCACTTGCCTAAAGAGAGATATTCCTGAAATGTTGGAGGTCAGTATTCATAAAATAAACCAAATGTCTCCACTTCCTTAAACAGGCCTGTTTGATCCAACTCCACCGGATGTACCTGATCACACACAGGCAGGAGGTACGTAGGCAGGAATTATGTCAGGATGTATGCTTGTCCCTGATTGGATGAAGGCGAGAAGTATGTACCCTTGTGGGTTTGGCCTTTAGAGGCACCTGGTTAGTGTAGCTAGTGGCCATTCTCTGGGAAGCCTGGGTATGGCCCTGGCCAGTGTCCATCTTCCTGGCCAGTATTAAAGAAAGCTTGCTTTAATTCGATAATTGAAGAACTGGTCTTTCTCCTTGCAATTTCCAGGTTTTGAACACAGTGTCATGTAGGTAATGTGGCTTTGGAATCTCTCCTGGGCAGGGTGATCTTGGGGTTTCTAGTTTTTGGACATGATTTCTTTCCTGCTTTTCATGTCTGAACCGGTGGACAGTTTCCTTGGTGCTTCGACAAGACAGAGCATCCCAGGATCTCTTGGTGCTTCTTTAAGAACCTACCAGAATCCTGCTTAGGCAGGTTCTCAGGCGGGTCCAGTTTCCAGGCAGAGGGTAGGAGATTACAAAGCTGTCCTGCCTCACTCCCGGAATCATTCCTTGCTTCCAAGTTTGCTGAGTATTTAAGCCTTTCTTAATAGTTCGGACATGCTCATAGTTTAGTGCAGCACTTATGTTAACTATATTAATCCTTATGAACATTTTCGTTTAATGTTTTCTTTCATGCTAAGTATGTGTAAATATGGATTGCATAGATCTTCACATGAATGGAGGAATTTGACCTTCCTAGAGTGGAGACACAGTGGTGAGAAGAGATGGGAGGGTTACATCATCCTCAGTTGCTGAAAGTAGCATCCGGGGTCATTGACATCCTGGTGGTTGAAGTCATTCTTCCTCATGAAAACCTGGTCTGGCCTCCATTCTCCTTCTGCACTTCGAAAGGCTGTTGCTACTAAACTTTGCATATTCATCTTCATTTTGAAAGTCCTGGAACTCCCAAGATGTTTCGGAGTATTTGAGCTGGCAGGAGAATTATTTTACTTCATTCGTTCCTACATACAAAAGGGTTTTCATTTTGAGTTTTACCATTTTGTTTGACCACACCAGCTCGTCTGTTTAGCTGAATGTGGTATTTTCACAAGGAATAATGATCTGAGGAAAGTGGCTTGTTCCCGAAAGTGGGATTGTGGATGCTAGTCTTGGCTCCATTTCTGGGCTTTATTAAAAGAGTGTTTATAAAACCACGCTATTTGTATTTACCAAGAATATTAGTGGGAGGAAGGGCAAACAAAAAATGGTCTGGGTCTCAAAATTCTCGAAGGATCCATCCATCATTAAGTAGATCGTATTTGTGTGAATAAATGAGACACTGTAGTGTGTCAGCCCGCCAGCTGCCAGCCATGGCCAGCAAGGATCTCAGTATATAACCAAACTCCCTCATTCCTCAAAGTAGATGGAAACTCTCCTGCTAACCAGCAGGCTGCTCCCTGGTGTCTTTTCCTCTCTCTCTCTCTCTCTCTCTCTCTCTCTCTCTCTCTCTCTCTCTCTCCTTCTTTCTTTCTGTTTTGTTTTTCGAGACAGGGTCTCTCTCTCTCTCTCTCTCTCTCTCTCTCTCTCTCTCTCTCTTTCTGTTTTGTTTTTCGAGGCAGGGTTTCTCTGTGTAGACTCGGCTGTCCTGGAACTCACTTTGTAGACCAGGCTGCCTCCTGAGTGCTGGGATTAAAGGCATGCGCCACCACCCCCTACATGCTCCCTGGTTTCTTAAGCTGGAATACCTGAAACAATTATTTCCCCAACCTTGTGCTGCCTTCAGTTTCCCAAGCCAATTAGAAGTTCCAGGTAGCTGACCCTCCTGTCCCTGACCCCTTCCCCCAGATGTAGGAAGAGCACATCTGTGCACCTCTGCCTTTCTCCCCCCTCCGCCTCCCTTCCCCTCCTCCCTCCCTTTGCACATTGTGGTGGCATATAGGAGTCTTTCCTGGGTGCTAAACATTCCACTTGGAAAAAAAACCAAAAAACAGCTCCAACCTAATCCTGAGTGTGTAAGGAGTTTCACTGCATAAGCTATAGAGTGGTGTGCCGAACTGTGTATGAGCAAGCACACATGCTTTGGGGGCTGGGCTATGGGGCAGGGTGCAGGGCAGCAGAAGGTCACAGAACCCCTTGCCCCACGAAGCCTCCTGAGTATGGCCTCTCAGTCAGCTCAGTGCTAAGCACACGGTCACTCACACCTCATGACTTCGATAGGTGATAAGAAAATGTTTTAAATCTACAGGACTGATGTGAGAGGCGCTTTGTATGTTTTGATTGATACAGATAAACTCGCTATTTTTCCAGAAGAAATTTGGGGCGGGGGATAGCAAGGTTAGAATTTAGTATTTTAATCCCAGTTCTTCAAGATACACTTCACAAGTCATTCAACAAATATCGACCGACTACCTACTATGTGTCAGGCACTGTGGTAGGCTCTGGAGATATAGTGGAAAACAATCTAGACTTTCTAGGCTGTGTGCCCGTAACCTCGTCGCTCTGAGAGTCCTTTCTTCACAGCTAAGAAACTGCAGAAGCTGTGTGGGGACTAAAGGAGAAAACATGTGGGAAAGCGCCTTGTGGATGCTGGTGACCACACGTGTGCACACAGGTGCTCTCGTATACATACATGGGCACTACTATCTCCTAGTCTTTTCAATGCACAGTGAAGGCCATTGAAATTTAATAAAATAGAGTAAGTCATTAATTTTCATATCTCTCAAAAGGAGAGGTTGCGTGGAGACTTTCCCAGGATGCACTGGGACCCTGAATGGGATGGCTGTGGCTTCACTAAGGCTTTCTGAAGGAAGGCAGGTTATCAGTGATAACTGGTGTGAACCTCGTAGCGCACACCGTTTCTCCCAGTGCGAATGTTTGTAAGCTCCTGGAGAAGGGCGACCTGTGAGACTTTAAGGTTGATCTTGGGATATCACAAATGACAGAGTCTAGCCATGGTACCACTTACAGCAGGAGGGTCCAGCCAGCATCCTCTGAGAACCAAGAATCAGGCGGATGTGGGCCTGGAGAGTGACTGCCACTTCTCGGCCCCATGTCGAGGTTTCTAGAATCATCCTCAAATGGGCACTGTAGACAGAGCTGAACAGAGATTGGGGCTCCAGATCATGCCGCACAGATGAATTTCCAGGAGTCTCTTGCCAAAAGAGGCCATTGAGAGGAGGCCTCACATTAGCTGTCTGTTGTTCCTGCTTTTCCAGCTCAAGAGGCCACATAGAGAACTTGCCACAGCGGGAGGAGAGAGAAATGGTGTCCGGGACTGTCACAGAAAGAGAGACACACAGACAGCGAGACAGACATAGAGAGACAAACAGATACAGAGAGACAGACACACAGAGAGAGAAAGAGAGAGAGACAGAGAGAGAGAGAGAGAGAGAGAGAGAGAGAGAGAGATCTGTGTCCATGTCCTCTACACTACCTTGGTGGAGCCATCGCCAGCTCTTTCTCATCTTCGGCTCTGCAAAGCCCTCTTTGCTGAATGTGCGCTATCGACTTTGCTTTAATGCATTCTTTAAGTTTGATTGTGAGCCTAGCCTTTAACAGTTGAGCCACCCTCCAGCCCTCTTAATGCATTCTTTATACAAACTCGGTGTTTTGTTGTTGTTTTGTTTTCTTGTTCCCCGTCCCCAGCCACCACAGCTAACTTCTGCTTATGCTTTTACTCATTTTAAAGTTATTCAGTGGGGTCAAACCCTAATCTGACCCCTAAGACCTCGTCAAAGACACTTTCCCTCCATATTGTTGTTTTGTTTCCTTGTCTTAAATAAACTTCCCAGGCTTCTTTCTGCCCCGGGACTCTCACACAGTTGGTCTCCTCTGCCTGGAGAACTCTCCCCTCAGCTCCACAAGGCTTCCGTTACATCCTGCCAAAGGCAAAGTTTCTCCTACTTTCTTTTCTTCTACATAAAAACCTCCTTTCCGCTCTCAAAGCACCTGCCCTGACTTGCCATTTCTGCTTGCACTTTGTCTGCTGCCTTGCTGGCTAAACTCAAAGGTCTAGGGAGGTCAGACCCCTTCAGATTTATTCCCAGAGCATCATGCTTGGTACTCAAGATGGCAGTCAGTATTCCCAGTCAGTGTTTCTCAAAGGAGTACGCATCGCCTTGTATCTCCTTTTCTTACAGAAACAGAAGCAGTTGTGCGGGGTGACTGTGCCCTGTGTCTCTCCGGAAGCGATTGCTTGTCTGGACTGCCACCCTTCCTGTGGTTGTCCCTTCTGCCGTCTCCTCTCTCTGATGTTGTCACCCTTTCTCCTAGACCTCTACTGACATTTGTGATACCGTGCTATGATGACAGGTTTTCACTTCTGGCCCCTCCCGCTTCTGCTCATAACCATTCTAGCAACAGGAGAGGCACATGACATTCCTCTGAGCATCCTAAGTACCAGTGTGGCGCTGGCTGACTTCACACCGCATTCCATTTCCCTAACCCCGACAGGCTGGTATCCATGCTACAGGAAGAGACAGGCCCCAGGGATAGCTGGCCATTCCAGAAGATTCTGCCCAGAGGCAGGGCAGGTGGGAATGTCTGTCCTGAGTTCTTCCTTCTGAACGAAGAGCTGTCTGTGAACAGGGAGGGAGGATGTTTTCTCCCTCCCTCCCATCCATTCAGAGGTAAAAGCAGCTTGTGTCTTTGCCCAGATAGGCCCCCCCTTTTCTTGTGTGTGTGTGTGGGGGGGACATTCTTCAGGCAGATTTTCCGAGCTGAAGTCATAAAGAACAAAAGCTGCTGGCCAGCTGTGGCCAAGCAGCCTGATGTCCCTCCCCCGTCTCCCGGGCCTGGTACTGTTACTGCCTGGTGGGAAAAGGGGTGTGAAAACTTCCCTCGAAACATCTGGTCAGGGCCAGTGTCAGCTGTTGAGATGAGCATTCCCGTCTGATTGTGCCAGGCCGCTGGAGGTGACTGAGCAGGAGAGGAGACAGAGCCGAGCCTGGCGGCCTCCAGGGATCAATCTTCCAGTCTCACTGTCCCCAGTGGCCACCTCAGGCTTCCATTTGGCCTGTGCCTGGGAACTCCAGTCGTGAGCAACAAAACCCCTGGTTCCTGCTTAGTTCTCAAGGGGCTCTAGGTAATACAAAGGCACAAGCAAGCATGTGCTCCTTCACCCGGATCCGCCCTTCTGCCGGATCTGCGGTTGTCTCTCCACACTCCCTCCTGACCTCTTACTGAGGACCTCCACGCTCTCCCGTCATCTTCACCTCCCCCCTTCCACAAACAGGGCCATGATGACTCAGATTCAGATCCTTCCTCTAGCAAAAGATTCCTGAGCTATTATGGAGACAATTCTTAATACCCACATGAGTACAGGGCTGAGGTGGTTTTGGTTTTGTTGTTTGTTTTTCACAGTAACGTCTTCAGAAGACAAAGTTAAAGCTCAAAGGATCAAATGAGTGGTCACTTCAGATTTTGGAGGAGGCTCCAGGACCAGCCGTGCCTGCCAGTTCCCCTAACCCACAGCCACCCAGCCACAGCGGCCCTCTCCCCTGGGCTCTGGGCTCTTGAAGTTTACACTCAGAGGAAGGTGAGTTTGGGTTTACTTGAGGGTCCAGGCTGGCGAGTGGATTATACATAAATTTAGCAAAGCGGAGGTTACCTTAATGGTACTGATAGATCAGGCATGTTACACATCATTAAAACAGCCAATTGATTGGGAAAAAAATAATTAGCTTACCCTGCCTTGCTGAGCAGCCTTTTGACACACCAAGAAGGAGATATGGAAGGGACAGAGGTCATTCATCTTTTGATCATTTGTTTTCCCTTCAAGGTGATGAAAAAGGCCGCGATAACCCTCGGGGAGGAGGAAGAATATAAACAAGTCTTAGTTCTTCGCCATTTGCTCAGAGGAAAGCCATCTTCAGGCTTTCTGGAGTGTGGTATGTTTATCCCAGCTACACAGATCCACTCCTTTAAATCAAACACTCTGCTGGTGCCTCGGAGTTGTAAATCAGTGGGTCTTTTCAAGTGACTTCATAGAATGTGATATTCTGCTTTCCCCTGACAGGATATAAACACGGAAACCTAAATATTATAATCCAGGCCACCATGGGCAGACTAGGAGGCATGTCGATTCCAGTTGCTCTACGGTGCCTCCTTGCCCCTTGTAGCACCTCGCTGTGCGTGGCCAGTGCTCATTCTCTTTACCGACTTGGAAGAGAAGTTGAAACTTGTTTTGTAGAATGATGTGGAAATTTTGCTCAGAACTGTTTGCAGCTGAGACACTCTGAGAACTGTGAGTAAAAGAATGTCTCTGGAGGGGTACTGGGCTGCCAGTATCCTAGCATTGGCCATTCTGTCCCTCGCCATCCGAGTGACCACAGGCATAGTACTCAACAATCAAACAAGATCGGTGTGAAATATGCCTACAGTAATTAGAATAAGAGAAAATGCTTAGTCACCGAATAGCCGATGTCTTACCTTAAAAAAAGTCAGAATTTCATCTGCGTAAAATTAGCTGACCGTAAACTCATAATCACCTGGAGGAACGTTTTCAAAGATGAGTGAATTTGTTATCTTGTTGCTGAGACAAAAACACGAGAGAAGTAATACAGAGTAAGAATCAGTGTTGGCTCATAGTTTATAGGGACATAGTCACCATGTCTGGAAAAGCATGGGCATGGGAAGAGGATTGTGTAGCCATGGGGGCATGGAGGGCCTTGGGCCTAGTAGGTGCCAAGCCATACTCCTTAAAGGCTTCATCCTTAAAGGCTCATCTAGGGCCTTTGCTAGCCATGCCTCCTGCTCCAAAGAGTCTACAACTTCCTGAAATAAGTGTGCAAACTCATGAGTCTGTGGAGGGATGTTTTACACCCAAACCATGGCAACAAATTTCACGTTTTTAGCTGCATAAACAAATATTATGTGTTCATGGTGGGAATTTGAGGAACAAAAAGATAAAAAGAAAAATACACATCTGTAGGTTCTGTTTAGGAAGAGAGACTTATTTAAAGACAGTTTTATTTGGTCAGGGTCCCTTCAGTGTGCATGCCCTCTACTCTCCACCTCTCTCATGATGGGGACCTGTAGTCCGTCTCATGGCCTTCTTTTTTTTTTAAATTAATTTTTAATTTATGGTGTGAATGTATTGTCTGCATTGGCCCATGGAGGTCAGAAGGGGGCATCAGATCTCTGGGACTGGAGTTAAGGATGGTTGTGAGCCACCATGTGGGTGCTGGCCACCAAATGCTGGTCCCATGCAAGAGCAACAAGTGCTCATAACCTCTGAGCCATCTCTCTAGCCCTGCTTTCTTTTTTGTTTTAATCTGTCTGAATGGTTTCCCACATCATTCAACTTGTAGTGTTCGAAAGTTTGCTTGCATGTGTGTGTGTGCATTTGTGTGACAGCCATATGGTCTCCGGGAAAGTCCTTTAGACAGTGACTGGTAACTGCACTTACCTCTAAGCCTGATGATCTGCGCTCGACTCCCAGAATCCCTGGGGGAAGGAGAGAATGCACGCCATAGACTGTCCCCTGATGTCCACCTGTGCCTATGAACCTCTTCCCACATGAAAGAATATAAAAAATATTTTCACGAAAATAACATGAGAAATATGAATATTCAAGGTTCTCTAAAGGACAAATATCAGCATGAAATCCATGCAATGCCTGTTCTCTGGGTAGCGTGGAGGCCAGCTTTGCGTTTATACTGCCCTCTGATACTGGTCCTTACTGGCAAGACCTTCAGCTTCTGTATGGGCCCTTCCCCCTGCAATGGCTTTTTGTAGGATCCTAGATGGAGTGTGGTGGTTGATTGCTGCCTCTCTCACTTTCTATTGCTGAGATGTCTCCTCTGTGTTTAGTGACAAAAGCCACATTTTGACACTGCTGTGGAAAATTATCCTTCGTCTCTACAGCTGGGCCTTTGGCATCTTAGATCTTGGACACGAGTTTTTGGAAGAAGTGTGGAAGGCAGAGGGCTTCCATGGACTCAGAAGTAAGAGCCCTGTGTGAGCATGAGACGAGGCAGTTGTAGCTTTTATATGACTTTCTTTGTGCCTCGGTTTCCTTACTTCCTCACTTGTGGAATGGGATGTGTTGCAGAATATTTGTTTACACTGTAAAGATGGAGCTCTGCCTAAGGAGCCTTCTGATTGGTTTACTAAAGAGCTAAGTGGCCAATAGCTAGACAGGAGAGCATAGGCGGGACTTCCAGGCAGAGGAAGAGAAACTAGGAGGAGGAATCTGGATGCACAATTTCGCCAGCAGCAGATGGACACCACTAAGAAGAGGTAGCAGAGTCATGAGGCAGAATGTAGGTTTAAAAAACATGGGTGAAAAGGCGAAGGACTTCTATGATCTGAAGAGAAACCAGAATATTAATTTAGTCTACAACCCCAGAGAAGCTAGGTAACAAAGAGGACCCTAAGAGAGACGTACGTGGATCCACCTAGGAAGGGGAAATAGATCTCCTAAGACCTTCATCCAGTAACTGATGGAAGCAGATGCAGAGATGCAGAGTTAGCTGTGGGATTAACCACTGGACAGAGCTCCAGTCCTGTTGAAGAGAGGGAGGTGATACTATGAGCAAAAGGATCAGGACCATGATGGGGAATCCCATAGAAAAAGCTGACCCGAACTAGTGGGAGCTCACTGATTCCAGACAGACAACCATGAAACCTGCCTACAACCAATCTAGGCTTCCTGAAAGAAGAAGGTGATGGTGGCTTGGGCACTCAGTGGGGCTGTTGGCAGTGGGACCAGGAACAATCCCTAATGAATAACCTGGTTCTTTGGAACCCATTTCCTATGAAGAGAAACCTTGCTCACCCTCCAGGGGGAGGGCCTTGGTACTGCCCCACCTGGTGATGTGATAGAATTCAATGACTCTCCATGGGAGGAGCAGATGGGGGTGGGGTGGGGTGGGGTGAGGGGAAAGTGGGGGAGCAGAAGAGAAGGGAGTGGGAACTGGGATTAGTATGTAAAAATAAATAAAATAAAAGGGTTAATTAAGTTGTAAGAGCTAGTTGGCAAAAAGCCTAAGGTAAGGTCAAGCTTTTTTAATGAATAATAAGTCTCCAGGTCGTGATTTGCAGGCTGGAGGCCCAAAGAGTTCTGCAAGAATCTTGCCATGGGCGGTGTGTGTGTGTGTGTGTGGGGGGGGTTAGCCAAGGATAGTCCAGCAAGAAAGCTTGCTATGGGGCGGGGTAGCCCCTCTCTTGAATTGTTGGGGTGGACTCTCATGAAGTGGTTTCGACACCACCTGGAAAAGAAAAAGTGCTCAATAAACCAGAGTTCTGTTCATCATTTTAACAGTAAGGTCAACTTCCCAGTAGTCAGGACATTAAAAAAAAAAACCTAAAATCTGTTGGGTGATATATAATAAGAACATGATAGTTTAGAACAGAACAGACAGGAAAAAGGAAAACAGAAAAGAGGGAGAAAATCGGAAAGACCAGATTTCAGGCATAGGAATGCCAGGCATATATGTTTAAAAATAAATATATCTTATTTTTAAGTATGTGTAATGGGTGTATGTGCACACGTGAGCGCAGGTGTCTGTGGAATCCAGAAGCAGGTCCTGGATTCCCTGGAGCCAGGGTTACAGGCAGTTATGAGCTGCCAGAAGTTTGTGCTGCGAACCAAATTCTGGTCCTGTGGAGAAGCAATACTGTGTGCTTCATGGCTGAGCTGTCGTCTCTGCAACCCAACAAAGTGACTTTCAAGCAGCTCTGTGGGACTCGCTGCTCAGTGAGGACTGAGGCCGGTGACTGGAACATGGTGAAGAGCGCCTAGGTCTTTAGCTCCACCCTCACCTGCTCTCCCAGTCTGGAGATGGCAGGGTGGAGCGCACAGGCAGTGAGGGTGCTAACAGGAGGGTGAACGTTGGAGAAATAAATCAGCAAAGGCGTCTTGATGCCTTTGGCTAAAATGAATGGATCTGTGGGCACTAATGAATGACTGGCTGTCCCGGGTCTAGAACACATGTTTTCAGGCTATCCATTCATTGTTTCCCTCCCCAGTTTCCTTCCTTGTTTAAGACCTAAATATAAAACTTGACCCAAGAATTAGGAGTCTGAAGCATATTGGCATACTGGCTCACAGCTGCAATCCTAGCGCCCCAAAGAAGGAGGCAGACAAGTTATCATGAGTTTAAGGTCAGCCTGAGCTTCATAATGAGTTTCAGGTTAGCCTAGGCCACCACACAAGACACTGTCATAAACAAGCAAGCAAAAAAAAAAAAAAAAAAAAAAAACTAACAAAACTAAAAACAAACTGGATTCTGTGCCTTGGCCATTAGGGTGGCTCCTAGTTGGAGACAGGACACAGTGGTTGGCCAGAGGCTCCAATGAAGTCCTGTGGAAGGCTGGAATAGCCATGTGCCTCTCCAAACCTTCCAACCCTCCTGAGTGTGCAAGCCCCTGATCATGGCAGGCTCTCAGCCAATCGCTTCATGAGTTAACAGCTCATCCTATTACGTTATAGAAGATGTAAAATAAAGAATCCACAAGCTATGTTTTTGTCATGGCTGCCAATCTACAGAAATTAATGAGGGGACTTGGCTGAACGAGGTTGAAGTCCCGAGTTCCAGGCTGCCGGCCTCGCTTACATTAGCTGTATAGCTTGCTAGAGGATCCACAGAAACCCATTTTTCTATCTTGATCTTTGGCGTTTATAATATGTAGGTACTACTACAAGTTGCCATGACAATCAATCGTCTCTTAACACGCATGGGTATCTGCCACCTATTTTACAGGCTGATTCATTGTGGTCTTGGAACATACCTAGAGAGTAATTCAGTTGTACCTTTCCAGGGTCCTGACACCATGGCAACTGGGCCAGACCTTTTGTTGTTGTTGTTGTTTAAAAAACTCGAATGTGATAGAAAACAATACGCTATTTAGAACATAAAAAAGGTCAACATAATTTTCAGTAAGATTATTTAAGAACATTTTCTTTGGAAAGGATGTGGGCTGCAGTATCCGTTCTCTCCTGTGGTGAAGAAGGGAGAACCCAGGGAAGATTGAGCAGGACAGCATTCCACCGCTAAGGCTGGTGCAGAACCTGCGATGTGATTCCTTGAGAAAGTCTCACATTCTCTAGAGGAATGTGGTGTAAAAACCAGGCCATTCCGAATTAGACTCATTTATGTTTCTAGAAGTAATATTTTCTTCCCGTCCGTATCAAAACTTTGAATCATGCGAGAATGTAGAAGTGTCTCTGTACTTATGAACTACACACACACACACACACACACACACACACACACACACACACACACACAAAGTAAAATTAGCTGGAGTGTAGGGATATACACTTTTAAACCCAGCACTCAGAAGACAGAGACAACAGCAGTTTTGAGATACAGGCCCAAATGGGATACTCTCCGTTCTTCTCATTCCTGTTAAGGTCTGAACTTATTCATGGACTTGCTCTAAGGACTAGGAACTGAAGCAGAGAGCCCAATGAAGCTTCCTGGAATAGAGAGGACTTCTCTCTTCGTCCCTCTGTGGCCTCTGGAACAACTCTGGAGCTATATAGCTTCTAACCAGCAGATGGCGTCTGGCATCAGACATGGGAAAGGGGGAGGCCCAGGAAGCCAACTTTTCTCAATCACAGGATTCCTAAGTTCATTTAATAATAAAAGTGGGGTAGTTTATTACACCGTATTTTCCTGTGTGTGTTTACCTGTGTGCATGTTTGTGTGGGTGCGTTCATCCATAAAGTGTATTCGCAGGCCAAAGACTTCCATCAACACGTCTTCACCTTAGAGACTGTAATTGACCCGTTGGCGCTTCCGTACATCCGTCCGCACATTCGCTCAGGCTCCCCGCTGAATCTCCTATCACCCCCCGACTCCCACCCGCCACCATGGAGTCCTCATCCCACGCTTTCATGCCCTGTTTTTGCTTTATGACCCACTGGTTTTTACTGGGGCCACTTGTATAGTGGGCACTTGTATCATGGACACCTCATGCCAGTAACGTCAAGGACTTCCTGTCTTCCAGAAACGTGTAGTTTCACTGGTCGTATAGTGTGCTTGGCAACCCAGCTCTTGATGTCTGTGCTGCTGGCTCACGTGTGGTGCGGCAAACCCCATCTCATTTATTTCCTAAACTGGAAATGGGTAAGGCTTGCCATTGTCCGGGACTTGTTCAGAGCACCTCAGATTCCTTGAATGATGCTATCATAGGAAAGACT